AGGGCTTATACAAAGGGGCCTCTAGGATTTCAGTGTTCAGTTAGAATTTGAAACATTCAATAAAATTAAATTACTTGCCAAAATTACACTAAGAGTCAGGCTGGAGTGAAAGGCAGTAAAAACAAGAAACAGGCAGTATATACTTCACTTTGAGAGCAATGCAATAATCGACCTTGAATACGAGTGAGAACACTAGATAACATGCCAGACTTTCACATCAAAAAGAGACAGCATCAACAGGTTTTCCTGGACTTACAGAAACAGTCACGCAGATTTACCTTCTTTGACCTGCCTGTGAGAATGATCCCCCCCAGCAGAGCTTGGGGGGGCCAGTCCTGCAGCCCCTCTGCGGCTGCCCATCTCCTCGCCCATCAACAGGCCCCCTCCTTGCTCAAGGTTCTGGTAAGTCGTTCCAGCTCTGCCCTTGTAGATGGTCTAATTCCTACCTGTTGAGCAGTCAAGAAAGGCTAGTGTTAAACTGATAACCTGGAAACATGCTAAGAGGGGTTTGGTCCTTTACATGTTTTTTCAAAGGCTGAGATAAGCAGGTAGCAGACTGAAGAATATCACATAAACTGCTGCTGACACCAGTTTGACAGGTTCTGCAATCAAACCTCAAAGACCTCCAGCTGAGTCTGTCCTGACTGCAAACCTGCTCCCAATTTTCTCAGAGTGGTTTTAATTAAACTTTTACATTCAACCAGAAAGAGTTTTGTATGCAGGCAGACCTCTGCAGCCAGTTTAATGAAACTGAAGGTATTGATAAAAGCCAGAATATATTAAGCATATATTTGAAACGGTAAAATTGTTTTTAGAAAAATCCAGTCAAACAAGTCTGCAAAGGCATTGATAATAAACGTGCCCCTTGCAGACTTGCGTAGATGAAAATTAAGTGATTCGCTTGCTGAAATGAAACATGCAGTTAGGTGTTTTGCTCAAGTGTGAAAGCTCTGTCACTTACACAGCAGCCACCATTTGGAATTACTGGGATGATGATGATGATGATGATGATTATGATGATTATTTCCAGCATGTTAGCACCGAAGGGCCTCTCTCATGGACCAGATGCCATTGTGCAAGGTGCTGTGCAAGTGCAGAACAGAAAAAGCATAGAGAGCTCCTTGATGCAAACAGCACAAAATACCAAATAGATATTAACAGAGGAACAACTGCATAGAAATTAGGAGAAGACGTTGGCCAACAAGATAAGGAGAAGCCATAATATAGCCCTCACTGCCTGCTATAGCAAGTGAGATATTACTCCTTTTTAGAGGAGGTGATACACACCCAATGCTTCCTCGAGCTGGAAGGAACCAGGGGACATCAGCTTCATGCCAGCCTGGCTCTGGGCAGCACAGCGCACCCAAGACAGCCGAATCCGGCCCTCCAAATGGTGACAGGGATCTGGCTCCAGCTCAGGGAACACACCCAAACTGCAGCGATGCTTACCAGGACGCTGCACGCCCTCCCCAGGCACGTTGCTTAGGCAGACTTTTTTAGCTTTGTGATTTGAAACAAAGCAAGAAGATAAAAGTCAGCCGAGGCCTTTAATTTTTGGTAGCCGGCATAGTGCAACCACTGAGCTATGGCAACCAAGAAGAACGTAACAGGGCCGAAGGGGCGTCCTCGCTGTAGCACCCTCATGGCATGGTGATGCTGAGATGCCCCCACTTCCCAAAGCCTTGCACTTGCAAGTTCTCACCTGGCAGCAGCACTGCCTCCGCTCTCCCTGCCCACACTGGCGGGGGAGCTGGGTGGGCGGTGGGCAGCAGCGAGGGGATCCTCGTCTCCCTAACTGAGGAGCATGAGTGCACGCTCCTACTGAGAGACAGTTCTCACAGCCAGTTCCCAGCCATTATGAACACATGCATTTATTATTCAAATTTAAATTGCAGAAGCTATTCTTGGTGCTATGGTACTGCCTAGGGTCCCAGCTGAGATCAGAGCTTGCCCTGTTCAAACCTGAAAGGTTTTTAATCTAATTAAACAATAGGCGAAAGTTGGGAGGGAAAAGCAGAGACAGAGAATTGAGGTGAGTTTTTTTAAGACAATGGCTGTGGTCTAGGAGCCCCGGTTTGCTGGCTCCCACCCCTGCTCCCTCACCCAGCTTTGGGATGCTCAGGCATTTCTCCTTAGAGCCATGATGTCTATTCCAAATGTCCCACTTGGTATCAGTGTCTGACTTACGCTGTGGCACTCGGGCTGCTACAACAAATCCCCGTGTTTCTGTTTGTGCATAGGTCACAGCGCTGGCTGCAGCCTAGTATAAATACACACATGCAAGCTTCATGTCAGCTAGCTCCAATACTGGCACCAGAGCGCACTGCACGGATTAACCTCCCATGCCTTCACCCAGCTCGGCAGGGCTGCCACCGAGACCCTAACTACCTAGTTTAAACTGAACTCAGGCACATCCACAGTACGCTGCAATTATGGCCATGACATTTTCTAAGGGGCATCCTAACAACTAACCAGAAAGAACATGAATCATAACATAACCATATTAAACCCACCCCACTATTAGCCACATTTTCTAAATCTTCTTTTCCTCAGTAACTGAAGAGCAGTGTCAGGGGAGGGTATGTGTTGGCTGGCACCACACAAAATAAAAGCTCCTAGCTAATCATTTAATCAGCTCCCCACCAGTGTGGAGAGGGCAGCCAGCCTCCAGCCAGATGCCTGAATACTGCAGCCTGGTCTTGAACCTCCCAATGCTCTGCCTCAGCCACTGCATGTTATGCCAGTCACTCTTTTTCTAACGAGAGCTGTCAGGCTGGACAGATGAAATGTCCGATCCCCTAAACACTGCTGGGGGTGCTCTGGCACCAGAAGGAAGTGGCTGAGTTGGAGCTGGTCTTCTTTTCTAAGAGCAGATAACGATGCTTTATCTATATAGCATCCTGCATGATTTTGGAGCTTTGAAAGAGCTTTTCTCACCCAGAAAAAAATAAAAAAAAGAAAAAGCAGAAAACAAGATATTCTTATAGAAAAATTAACCTCAGATCTTTAGAGGTTTTCAAAAACATCCACAGATTGTAGATATAAAAATTACGTCGTACTGACATAATACAGCCACAGATGAACTTTCACGTGGCTGCCAAGTGTAAACTGATAGCAAAATATGGAGCCCTAATAGTCTTAAAAGCTGGCACATTGCAACAGATCTTTCTTCTTCTCTGCTTCATGAAGTGAAGTGAAGCTGGCAGAAGACGCTGGCAGGGGATTATTTTCTCTGCCTTTGCTGGCCTTGCCCACAGCTGCAGTCCACACGCAGGCTACAAAACAGAGCCGACAAGGTGCTCACTCAAGCCACGGTGCAGGGATGCAGCTTGAAGGAATCCAGTGCAGGATCACAGCGGTGTGAAGCGAAGGGTGGGCTTCGCTCAGTGGTGGGGCTACCCCGCATGCTAGATAACATAGGAAGGGAGCAGCGACGCTTCTCTTCAACGGTGGAGTCCAGTGAAGCACAAGTTCCTGGCCACAGCCTGAGCCACCGAGTGGGGACTGGAAAGATGGAAGAGGGGAAACTGTGGCTGCAGCGTGATGTGGGGATGCCTCTCCCCCAGCTTGCTCGGACATCAGAAGCAGCACAGCCAGGGTTGCACCCAGCTCCCAGCCTGGCGTGTTGGGTAATCGAGAAGGCAGGTAAACAACTGGGCAGCCAGGCTGTACTGAGCTCTTCCGCTAAAGCCTGCCAGAGCTCACACTCTCAGGTTAAAGCTGGAGTTTGGCGATGTCTACATGGCGAAGCAAGGCTTAGACCTCAGGCACAGCTCTGACCACTCTGGCTCTCACATTGAGTTAATCCTCCTGCCTGGTCCTGCCCAGCATCTGTGGTCAGACCAGCTCAGGTTAGTCCCTGCCCACGGAGATGGCCCAGGGATGACATTATTGTTTTCCATTCTGTAGGAGTCCTTTCCTGTAGATGTCAGCCACAACTGTACACAGAAAAGAAGCATACAGGGCTTGTGAGGAAAGGCAGGGACTGGAAATCTTTGCAGACTTTAATGCTGTCCTCTTGAAGTCTCCACAGACTTACCAAGGGAAACGTTTTCAGAAATCTCCACTTCTAGAGAATTCTTTTGCTTCTGGGCACCCTGCGTAGAGACACCATAGCTGCAACATTCAGGAGAATAGGGCACCCATAATTCCCAGGTCTTTTTAAAATCACTGGCCTGGGTCTTTCTATTCTTCCTCAGTTTACCTTTCTGCAACAGAGGAATCATAATAGTTTGCAACCTTAAAAAGATGCAGAGAGTTTCAGTTCCCTGAAACAGTTCCTGTTTGTGCTTCATGGTCTCCAAACAGGAGCTAATTTCCATGACCAAACACAATACTTATTTTATTATCTTCTACCAAGGAAGTTCACCATCCTGGAGACTCTGAAATTACTGTGGTTTTTTTCCCCTGTTAATGCAGATCACTCTCTACTCTGAAAGGTTTGAAGAATTTCAGAAAACATTGACCAAAAGCAATGAAGTATTTGCCACTTTCAAACAGGAGATGGAGAAAGTGAGTAGCAGGTCATATCTGAACTCTGTGCTTGACGCTCTCCTTTTAGATTTTGATATTTCTCACTGCAATAATTTTATCTGGATGGGGCCATTTCTGCTTATTTTGGAGAAAAATCTCATCAACAGCCAAATAAGGTCTGGGGCACATGTGGCCATGACTGACAGCAGCTTAGACTTCAGCGCTGCAAGCTGAACATTTCACTTTCCCTTTCAGCTAAAACCAAAATTGCCTGGAAGAATAAACGTATTACCTAAAACCTAATGTCGTGGTTGGGTACAGACCCCTCAGAGATACCAAAGCGGGGGTCTGGACCTGCATTTGTCAGCCCATGTCTCCAGGAGTGCTCAGAGCCTCCGGGGTGACTGACACTGGTATAGAAACATTTACACAGGCTACATGTCTTCCCACCGGAGTGTGTGGGCAGAGCTGAAGCCCACCAACACCTTCCCACCATTAAGCCCAAATGACTGTTTCCTTGCAGCTGCTGTACTTATTTCCTGTGACGAATGGGAGTCAAAAAACAAACGCACCCACATGTTGTACCCACTTTCATAACAAACAATGTTCTGCTCTGCCACCAGGGTCCAAAATCCTGGTTGCCCTGATCCAGGCAACCTCTAACCATCTTCACAGAGAGTTCAGCCTGCAGAAAACCAAAGGGAAAGATGGTGCTATTTAGCTAGTGGTATGGGCTGGAGGTAGTATAGAGGCGAGTAATCCAGCGGGAACTTCCTTGGCAGTGCTGGCTCAGAAGATGCAAGCCCTTCCTTAACTTCCCAGCAATCTAACACTGTGGTCTGGTAAAGAGACAAACAGAATAATGCCACCTTTTCTTTGCCTTTTGTTTTTGTGATAGTTTGTACTGTGGGAGTTGGCTGTACTTTTACACACGTAATCAACTGGTCCTACTTTAGGACTGCAGACTGGAGGCTGAAAGTTATATGGCAGCTACTTAAAACTAAATCCATCCCTTAACATAAATTATTAGCACAGCTGCTACAGCTGCTGGTAGCAGCGTTATGAGTAAGCCAAAGTCCTAAATAAAAGGGCTGCCCTAATTTAATCTGCAGTGTGGAATTCCTGTTGTGATTCAGCTTTTCCTCTTGTTTCTATAGATGACAAAGAAAATGAAGAAGTTGGAAAAGGATACTGCTACATGGAAATCCAGGTTTGAGAACTGTAACAGAGCATTACTGGACATGATTGAAGAGGTGAGCGGTCTTTTTCTTCTCAGGATGCACCCCTTCCCCACATAATGCTTTAACTAGGCGATGAGATGACCTGAAACAGCCAAAAATCAATGAAAAATTTGGTTTTGAACCTAAAGGTCTTTTTTTCAAGCTAGCTTGATAATTAGATGTCTTTAAAGAAACAGACAAAATTCCCAGCTGCTGGGGCTTTTAGATTGTGCAGAGACATTCATTATATCCATGAGAAACTGAATTATGTAACTGTGAATTTTAAGTGCTCTAAAAATGTGTGATTGTTAATGCTCTCACATAGAAGCAAATTGGCATTAGCTCACTTCATGCCAATTTCTTTCTGCATAAGAGCATCCACCCAGGGAATTAATGTGCTCTAGCTAATGAACATTAAATTCACGCCTTTCGTTAACTTCCTGTTTAGGCAAACTCTAAGAGCCAAAAGCAAGTACTGTGGCTCACCATGGTTTTAAACATGCTGTCACAGGGGCGTTGCAGAGGAAATTCATAAGCATGTTGGAACTCGTTCAAATAAGATAAGAGGCTGCCTGAAGTTTCACCCCAAACTTACACTGAGCTTGGACCAGGTCTTTCTGGTTAGCTTTGTAGCTCTGTGCTATTGCTATTTCTAGGGGTTTCTGTATCTCTTGCTTCCTCACTGGGTGTAGAAGCAAGAAAATGTTCCAATTCAGGCTGCTCTCACAGAACCTAGAAGCAAAATAAACAAAAAATATAATACAGCTTGTTTTCCTCAAATTTCTCACCCACACCCACCAGAAGTCCAGGTAGGCTTTTGGATGCTTCTCTGTATGAACATCCACTATGTTCTTCCACCTCTACATATCATCGGCAGGTATTCCTGCAAAAACTTTGAGTGAAATTGATCTGAATCTGTATGGAGGATGCTAATACAATACACTGCAGTAACAGGGGTGAGTTTCCTCTTGAAGCTTCAGTACAAAAGACCATAGTTATTGCAGAGCAGTGGGTGAAATCCAGCTACCTGGCAGAGTCCTGTGAGGGCTGCCTAGATCTCAAATTGTTTCCTAACTGCCAGTTCCACCAATGAATTGCATGTACACAAACTCAGCCTGCGCCTTTGTCTGATGTCTTTGACCACAGAAAGCCATGAGGTCCAAGGAATATGAATGCTTCATGCTGAAAATCCAGAGGCTAGAGAACCTTTGCCGGGCTCTGCAGGAAGAGAGGAATGAATTGTACAAAAAAATAAAGCAAGCACAGTTCCCTGAAGAGATGAATGGAAATGGCATATTGGAAGAAGATGATGACGCTGATACGAGCCCTTCCTCCTCTGAGCAGGCAAGCATTGAGCTGTGCACTACTGACGAGAACATGCTGAAGGAGCTGGCTGAAGCTTTCAAGGTGTCCCACAAGGCAGAGGAGTCCCTCCCAAGCAACAGCAGCAATCCAGAGACCGGTGACACTCAAACCTGTAATGCTGTCCTGGTGCCAGAGCTCCCCTCTTCTCTCACCCCATGGCCAGAGGCCGGGAATCACTGTGAGCAGCCCAGCACGAGCACACCAGCGCCCACTGAACACATGCCAGCACCCACTGGGAGCACGCCAGTGCCCACTGAAAATATGACAACGCCCACTGAGAACGTGCCAAAGCCCACCAAAAGCATGCCCGCGCTCCCAGAAAGGGTGCCACCACCCACAGAAAGTGTGCCAATACCTCCCAAGAGCGTGCCAGTACCCACTGAGAATACGCCAAAACCCACTGAAAGCATGCCAGCAACCCCCGAAAACGTGCCAACACCCACACAAAACATGCCCACTCCCCTTGGGAATACTGTGCCAGTACCCACAAAAAGTGCACCAAAAGCTGCAGAACATGTGGATGACCCAGTGGAGCCATCTGTCCACGGTCAGTCTGCAGAGCAAACAGGGGACACAGACATGGAAGCAGTGGATTGAAGACACTGGTGTGTCCGGGCTTGTCTTCTACAAACCACAGTTCTGCTTCGTCCTCTAAATTGATACTTTTTTTTTTTTTAAAGAAACAAAAAGTGGATGCTAAAACACACTCACATATCTGTAGGCAAATGTAATGCACTTCTCTTTGCTACCACTATCCAGTAATAATGGGTCTGCAAATTTTGCTGTCCTTCATCTGCTTGAAGCACAATACTTTCTTAATGACAGGAAAATACAATGAAATTACAGGATCTTTTTCCCAGGCATAATGAGTCATCTCACTCAGCAAGAGAATTTTAAGTGTTGAAGTGTCATGTTTCAAAAATCATTGCAATTCACATACATATATTTAAAGACTCATAATTAATTGTATCTATTTGTTATGACATTGCATAAAAGATGGCCTACTTGGACACGTAGTGATTTTAATAAATGAGGTGAAAGGAATCTGTAATTATAAAGTAAAATAGTGAAACCATCGATGTGGTCAGCCGTATCCAAGGAGAGGTGCAATAACAAAAGGTGAATTTTTGTACAAGTAAACTACCACTTGGCCTATGTGGCCTGAACACCCACAAGCTCTTAGCTTTACCTTGAATTGGTCTTTTCTGCTTAGTGCTCTAAAAGAGGTTTTGTTTTCAACAGAAGTACAGGGTAGGGGAGATGATCTTTTCTAGATTCATCATAAAATGACTGAAAACAACAGCAATTTCCAAATTGATGGCAATTCCCAAGGTAGGGGTCACAACCCTCTTTCTGCATCCAACAGAAACTTGCTAGTTTGTAATACTATTTGGGATCACAAGCCCAACAGAGGGGCTCATGGCTGTTTCCAGCTCACAAATGAGGTCAGAAGTTCAGAAGTTGGTTGCAGATGCTGGCTTCTAGGCCAGGAGCAGAAAGCCACGTGGAGCTGCACTAGAAGGTAGCAGGATGTATTCCAGAAGATACCCGAGATCATGTTTCCAGATCGTCCCATCTCTCCCAGTCACAGCCACATGAACCTCTTCACCACAGCTTCCTCCTGGCCCTGCTGCATGTGCTGATGCTCCCAGAAGAAGGGCGAGCACACTTGCCTGTCAGCCCGTTCGTCGGAGTGGAGCACAAGCAAACAGCCCAGAAGAAAACAGGTACCAGGAAAGCAGGAATCCCTCTCACAGACACTTTTTGGGGACTGGCTACATTCTCACCCCCTCTCTTGTCTAACTGGCTCTTCCCGTCTGCCTGCCAGCACACCACTGCTCAATAACGTGGCCACCTTGTCAGAAACTGGTTGATTTTGGCACCAAGAACAAAGATGAAGAAGGAAGGGGGCAAGAGGGGGTATCTACCCAGACAGCTGTAAGCTCTCAAGCAAGAAGAGTAAGAAGGCTTTTTGGAAGAAGGTTAAAAAAATCGTGTTGGCACATTTCTTGTTTCTCATTCCCTTCCTCCGAATTCAGTCTAGGCCTTTCGGAGTCTGAGCTGGATAGCTTAAGAACTTGAAAAGGGCAATTAAACAAGATATCCAGAGCCTGGAAAGGGAAATGTTACAATCAAACAAACAAACCCATGTTTCTAGAGAAATCCCAAGAAGCCCCTGAAGACAAAGTGACTCATTCAAGCTGAAGTTGAAATACAGGTGAACTGAGAGAAAAGATGCCATCTTTGGCAGACCATGGGAGACTGTGGTCACAGAGTCCTTCTGGCATGTCACCCTCCAAAAGCAGGATTTGACTCTTTGCTTGCTGCCAACATGGTCCGCACCCTGGTTGCGTATGTCTATGTCTGCACTGCTTGGTCCAGCCTTTTCGAGAGCTAACCATTGGAGTATACAGAGCATGATTTGCAAGTTTGTTTTGATATGGCCTTACAAGTAGCTATTATGGCTACAGTTTTCAAATGCGATACATTAGATACCAAGACCGACGGGATTTATTTCATGTCTTTAATCATCTGAAAGTAGATCATTCAAGTCTTAGTTACCTTAAGCTGCTTTTGTAAGCAGTGGAGAAGAATAGGCATCTTTTGAGGACAAGTCATCTCATGGCATCCAAGACAGAAGAAATTACTTTCTCTCTGAAGATGCCATTTCTCTTCACTGATTCTAGAGCCAGCCTAAGACAACTAGCTTAAATTTAAAATGTTTGTTATTAGGTGTCTAAATTAGGCAAGATGAATCCCATCAAACATTCAGATTCAAAGCCCTAAGTGAATGGCCATCTCTGAAAACCAAGCCACTTAGGCACCTGTGGAAGTGTTAACCTATAACAAATCCTTATCCTAAGATAAAAAGTTATACTCACCTGATTTACTTTTTTTAGTTTCCATTGACTTGAGACTGTAGAAATCTAGTTTCCATTACAAGTACAAGGTTTTTTTGTTGTTAGGGTGACTTTTAAAATTAATTCAATTTGATTGAATTAATTTGATTTCTTTTTCCTTTCTTGGTCTTGTTTGATTCTGTCGCCATTTTAGTAATTACCTGCATGAAACCAACTTCTTTTTCTTTGAGTAGGCCCTTTGAATGCCTTTAATTGTTCAAGTTTTCTTATACATTCAAATATTCAATTACATAATAATAATGATCAACATGGCCTTGCAACTTTAACTTGGTTCCATTTTGCATAATCATTATGGTCACATCTTTAATTATATAATTGTTGCCTCATACCTTCCAAGTTCAGCAAGCAGGGAGACAAGGATCCTACAGATAAAAACTTCCTACATAGTCATGATTGATTCCTACAACATCATCCCTCATGAATAATTACACAACCTTCTGGGAAAATCACTCCCACTCTATTCCGCCTTCCTCATTTTCGCCCTTTTAATTCTTGCATCTAAAACTGCACTGACATACTTGCAATTCCTATTACTTTGAGTAACTATGAGAGTTTCTACCCATGTACGCGTTGCTTCTCTTCTTCCATACCATCTACCAACTGCATTTTATCCCAGCAGTTTCCTCCTCGTTCTCAGTGCATACATACAACACTGAAAGCACAGGATAGTGACCCTCCCAGCTTTTAGTTCCAGGATTTGGCCTCACGTGTTTGCAAGAGATGGGAGAAGAAATGGTAGGGAAAATTCTGGCTGATCTCACGCTGGATGGAGCATTTATAGTCACGCTGTAGGGATGGTTTATGTGTAATCTCATGGCCTATACAGCTCAGTAGAGCTCTACCCTCAATAGAGGCGGAAAATCTATCAAATTTAACCATTCACCTATTCGTCATCCATTGCATCAGACTGGCAGTTTAAACTACCATCACCATCACAGATTTCTGTGTGTTAACCTACTTTCTCTCACTCTTCTTCAACATTAATTGCTGGCCTCCTCTCGCTCTCTTCTTGTACTGGTACCCAATACAAAAGCTGCCTCTGCACAGTAGCAGTGTCCTCATGAAAAGCTCTTGGGACTGCAGTCTGTACGTCAGCTCTGCTGCGCTTCCCTCAGGTGCCTCCGCGCTCAAGACACAGAAACCCAGCACACTTCTGCGATCATTCGGAGGCAGTACGTAGCAGTGAGACGTGCGTCTTCCCTGCTGTTCACCCTTATCATTATTCTCCTACTGATACTGCCAGTCTCATCAATCCTAGTGTGTGGTTGCCTCCTTTAGTCTTGCTTTTATTTCACACAGTTATTCCCATACCACCAGGCACAGATTTGGGGGGAGTGGAGGTGGCGTTTGTAGCTATATCCTCCTTACTAAAACCATCCATTGCTGTGCTGCTTCCGAACTAGCAACAGCCTTTATTTGCAAAAGTTGCAAGGAAAGAACAAAAATATTTTCCCTTTCTGTGTGTCTGACCTTT